AAAAAGTTATTACACGTGGCACACTGTGATTGGCCGCGAATAGCAAAACAGTGTTATCCCTATTCTACACAAGCGTTTCCCAGTGAAAAGAGGGTACCATTGGGTGCATGTGATGATGATGTGATTGATATTATGATCAGGTGTCTGGCCAGAATCAAAGAGCTTTAGTGATGAAGGAATGGGACCCATTCCAAAATCATGGAAGGGAATCTGCCAATCTGGACCTGGCTTCAATTCATCTCACTGTAACAGGTGGGTTTGTTAAATTTAATTGTTAATTTCCTTCCTTCCATCTACTTTCTTTGATATGTAGCCATTTTTCTCTATACCTAATTGTGCTGGTGTCAGCCATTTAGGCAATTAGAGTTTACATGTGAGGTGATTTTAATTCCACAAGATATGGCTAACTTTGCGCTTTGAAACACATATTTAACTTCAAACTATTTTAATTTCATGGGGGTCCATGTGGTCTTCTATGTTTTTTCTCTCTCTTGTCTTGAGGAAATACTTCTCCAGCTGCCACTTAATTTTCTGACTCGGTGATTCTAGTGTGGTAAGATTTTTACCCTAGAAGCCTAGCTAGATCTAGACCTAGGCCCCACCACACTAGAGAACATGAGATGGGTCAAGAAGGAACCCAGAGTATTGCATGCCTTCCAAGTTCCAATCTTTTGACTTGGAAAATTTACAATATGAAAAATGCCATAAAAAATAACTCAAATCTTTTGACTTTGAATGAGGGTTGTTCATGACTTTTTTATTTCCTGGATTTTTTGACAGAAATGGGTTCTGCAGAAGTGTAAGTTTTGGGAATGTAAATGAAATGAGAAACCTTTGCTGATACCAAGGAATTAGAGTTTTAATCACTGATTAGATTAAAAATATATCCTTCTTTATATAACAAATTATAAAATTAGTTTATGTACAAAGAAATCAAGATATCAGTAGATTTTTTGTTGGCCTGGCTGGCATGCATGTTCATCTTTTACCTTTCCTTCCACTGCATGAAAGAAGCATTTTCCAGTGACTTGCATAATTGATAGATACTTGTCTGGGATAATTGAAAATAAATTTTTTAAAGTATTTCTGGCCCTGCATAATTGATAAATATTTCTGGCCACTTGACTTGCATAATTGACAAATAGTTGTCTGGGATTATTGAAAACTGAAATTTTAAAAGTATTTCTGGGCCTGCATCCATGATCCCTTGCTTGTTTGTTTCAATCAAACAAATAACTTGTTTAATTCTATTTTGGATGCTTTTGTTTCACATCTTGTGAACTTTTGGCTGGTGCCCTGTGACCATGGACTTCCAGGCATTTGCCTAGCCTATAGAGGGGATTGGAAAGTGACCCTAAAACCAGTATGGACCCCATGCCAGTTTCCAATTATTTATGCACAGTTCTCAAACTATTTTTCTTCTCAGAGAAAGAAACCACTTCAATTGGGCAGTTCAGTGGTGTTTGCTCACTTCTGTTATCTCAGCTTTATATGAGTAATGCTTCTTGGATTACACATTGCATCTAAATCACGATTTTAGTGGCTGTAGTTTTCATAAGTTTCACTCTCATCTTTATATTTTCAATTGCATCATATTTAATTCATGTAGTTTCCAAATTGTTTTAATTCGAGAAGATCCCTCAATTATTAGTAATTTCGTGTACAGATGTCCTTGAATTGAAACAATTTACAAATTATAAACTATAGTGACCAAATTAAACTCAAGAGAACGAACATATTGGCCTAACCCGCATTTCTATTTTTTTGACTTATCGTTAGACAGTCATAGTTTGTAGCCAATAATGTGTTACACTTGTTACTTATAAGAAAGACCCATTAGTATAATTATTTGTAACAATTTTAACTGAGTGTGGAACTTGAAATAATCAAACATTGTGCTTAAAATCACAATTATATGACACATAGTTTACCCTTGATGACTTGTTTTGCAGGAAGCTCATAGGAGCTCGCTACTACCTCAAAGGATTCGAGCACAACTACGGCCCTCTAAATGCCTCAGAGGACTACCAATCACCACGTGACATGGATGGCCATGGCACACATACAAGCTCCACCGTGGCAGGACGGCTCGTTCCCAACGCCTCGGCCATGGGGGGTTTTGCCCGTGGCACCGCCTCTGGCGGTGCCCCATTGGCACACCTTGCCATATACAAAGTGTGCTGGGCAATACCAGGCCAGTCCAAGGCTGATGGCAACACATGCTTTGAAGAAGACATGTTTGCAGCCATTGACGATGCCATAGGCGATGGTGTTGATGTACTGAGCATATCAATTGGCACAAGTCAACCTGTCAATTACACAAGTGATGGCATTTCTCTTGGAGCGTTGCATGCTACTAAGAAGAACATTGTGGTGGCATGTAGTGCTGGGAACTCTGGCCCTGCCCCAGCTACATTGTCAAATCCAGCTCCATGGGTCATCACAGTTGGTGCTAGTAGCCTCGACCGGGCATTTGTCTCACCTGTTGTGCTTGGAAATGGCATCAGACTTAAGGTAATTAAAAGAGCACATATTTTTTAAAGATAATTTGGTTTAGTTTTGCTCCTAAAATTTTAAGCAAAACAAAAATGGTAGTTTTGAAAATGTTTTGAATCAACATTCAGGGAGAAACAGTGACCCCAAGCAAGCTGGAAGAGAATAACATGTACCCTTTAGTGTACGCTGCAGATGTTATCAACACTGGTGTGCCCAAAGATATGGCAGGGTAAAGTTTACTCTATGATTTATAATTTAATTAATTAATTTATGTGTTTCTTGAGAGATGATTAGTAGTCACTTTATTGTTTTGATTAGCTAATTAATGACTTGTAAAACCCAATGTGGCTGCAGACAATGCCTTCCAGGCTCTCTCTCACCTGAGAAGGTTAAGGGGAAGATAGTGTTGTGCATGAGAGGTAGTGGGGTGAGAGTTGGAAAAGGCATGGAAGTGAAAAGGGCAGGGGGTGTTGGTTTTATCTTAGGCAATAGTGCAGCAAATGGGATTGAAATTGCATGTGATGCTCATGTTCTTCCTGCCACTTCAGTGCTTCATAAAGATGCTAACAGAATTCTACAATACATCAAGTCTACCAAGCATCCAATTGCAACTATTATACCAGCAAGGACAGTCTTGCATACAAAGCCAGCTCCATTCATGGCTTCCTTCAGTAGCAGAGGCCCCAACGTCATTGACCCTAACATTCTGAAGGTAAATTTTGTGACTTTTTTTTTTGCAGTGATTATAGCCTTGTTCTAATGGTTTTTAAACTTATACTCTCTTCCTTCACCCGAGCAGCCGGATATCACAGCTCCGGGACTGAATATATTGGCAGCATGGAGTGAGGCTGATCCACCTTCCAAGTTGAATGGTATCGATCACCGAGTTGCTCAGTATAATATCTACTCTGGAACTTCAATGTCTTGCCCTCATGTAGCAGCTGCAGCAGCACTTCTCAAAGCAATCCACCCTAGTTGGAGCAGTGCTGCCATAAGATCTGCTCTCATGACCACAGGTAAAATTAAATACTAGAACATTTTGGAGGCATGACAGGACACTTGATCAAAGAAACCGGTTTGTGTTTGATCACAATTGTTTGCATCGCATTGTCATGACCCAAGATCTCCAACTTTTATCGTTTGCCTTGCAGCTGAGATAAGAAACAACTTGGATATGCCATTGAATGATGAATCAGGCAATGCTGCTACTCCCTTTGCATATGGCTCTGGCCACTTTCGTCCCACCAAGGCAGCAGACCCTGGCCTTGTGTACGATGCTTCATACAGAGACTACCTTCTGTACATGTGCAGCATAGGAGGATTCAAGGACGTCGACCCGAAATTCAAGTGTCCAAGATCACCACCCACAGCAACCAACCTGAACTACCCTTCCATTGCGATCTCCAAACTCAATAGCGCCATCACCATTAAGAGGACAGTCACAAATGTTGGAGCGGGCAAAAGCATTTACTTCTTTACTTCCAAACCGCCTCTGGGAATCTCGGTTAAGGCCTCCCCGAGCATGCTGTTCTTTGATCATGTTGGCCAGAAGAAGAGCTTCACAATAACAGTAAAAGCAAGAAAAGAGATGCTTAGCGAGCATGACAAGGATGAGTATGTCTTTGGGTGGTACACATGGACTGATGGACTCCATACTGTAAGGAGTCCCATTGCAGTGTCTTTAGCTTAACAAATCTTCCTGTGGCCACTTTCATCGCTTTTAGATTTTGATTCATGTCATAGGAACACAAAAATAGAGATAGGGGTTGCGGGAGCAAGGGGCTTTTACGGAATATTTTCTCCATGGAGTCTCAATCCTATTTCACCCTTTTTAGGATAAAAGAATAATAAGAAAACTCTAAAGGATGAAGAACTCTGATAACAAGAGTTTATGTTAACAACACCCTGTATCAAAACCGTAATTTAAATATGCAACAATGGCTGCATCTAAAGAAAATTATCAACTTACATAAAAAGATTCAGGGGTAAATTACTCAAATGGTCCTTAAACTTATACCCAATTTACATTTTGGTACCTCAATTAAATTATTCGTTCAAATGGTCCATTAACTCTATATTAATCACTCCATTGATCCTACCGTTACATTATGTTAATGTTGCCGTCAAATGTAAGGGTAAAACCGTCCATAACCGTCCTATGTTTCCCAAATAAGTGATAAAGTGGTGATAAAATTGTGATAAAGTGGTGATACATAGGTGATAAAGTTGTGATACATAGGTGATAAAATAGTGATACGTAAGTGATGCAGTGGTGATAAAGGGGTGATACATAGGTCAAAAGTCTTATTTACCTAAACAAATGTAGCATGCGTTGTTCACATGACTAAATTTAACAGAAAATGTAATGGTAGGACCAAAGCGCCGATTAATAAAGAGTTGGTGGACCATTTGAATGAATAATTTAGTTTATTGACCAAAATGTAAATCGGATACAAATTTGAGGACAATTTGAGTAATTTACCTAAAGATCCAGATATGCTCATCTCATAAAGTTATCATTACTTCAAATGGATGCATATAGAATCGTCGATCTTACAACGGAATTTTATCTTTAGCATGTAGCAATGAATCTTACCCTATATTTGTACATATCTTCATCTATGGGTAAAAAAATGGAGAAAATGAAAAATGAAAAACAGATATCACGATGAGATTGTGCATCCTCAAGTCAATGCCAGCAAGTCCATTTCAGTTGCTTAAGTTGTCATCTTCGTCCCATGCATTAGTTCTCACTTTAACCCTTTCACCCTTAAAGTGAATGTACTTCCATTTACACTGGTATCTTCTTAAAACAAGTGTTTTGTTCTCTTCTTGGCCTAGTTCCTTAAAAGCACGTGCCACCCTCCTGACAGTATCTTCATCTGGTTTTACACCCAGCTCCTCCATGTCTGCAAATACCTGAATTTCTCAGGAAGCGATTTAAATCTTAGTATTAAGATGATATTTCCTATTCATCTTCAACTTATGACATTTTTCCAGAATACTGTACAATATACCTTACCATGAAAAAAACAAAAACACAAAAAGGTGGAAATGCTAGTGGGGTGGTATTGCATTACCTCTATTATCTTATTTTGCTTGTCATGATGATCATACAAAGATATCATCCTAGAAAACAGCCGCTTTGAGATAGAGCGTGTATGCGTGTGCAGAATCATGTTCCACAGTGATTCAGCCTCATCTACCCTCTGATCCATATCAAATGCCAGCAGAAGGGTGTCATATGTTCCCATTGTTGCTCCTTGGCCTTTGCTCAACATCCACTTTGCCACCTAACCAGCACTAAGGATTAGCCATCTATAATGCATCCATCCATTTGCCTTATTATGGGGCCTTACTTAAACTTTTGCTAATCAAACAAGTTAATCTATATACAAAAAATTATATCCCTAAAACCATTAGAACAGTTAAAAATGAGAAGACCCAGCAACTAATAAGGCTGGTTAAAGAAAAAAGATCCTAAGAAGGCTTAGAGAGGCTAATCCGAAGCCACCTCAAGGCGTCCTCTGTGTTTTCATGTTAAGTGGATTTGTCACGTTTAGTTCTCCGATTGAACATGGATAAGTTATATTCCACACGCAATGATACCATAAAGGAATTATGCACATTAAGTCTCAAATTGAACCAAGCTAATTTGTATACTACATGCAAGGACACTAGAAAAAGTGAATTTTCCACTTGTTTGACAGTTACATGAATTCTCTAGAAAACATTTATTAGATAACAGGGGTCATTACGAGCAGGTTGCACCTGAAGTAAAGCAGTACCAATTCTACACAATCCGAAGTACAGTCTAAAGAAGCCATACCTGAATTACACGCACCCATTGACTCCTCTTCCTTAGGATTCTCAAGGCCTTAACCGCTGCAATCAATGGAAACTCAGCCTCCCAAGCTGTCCATTTATCTAATGCTCCATAAACTGTCTCTTTCTCATTAGGTAGACCGGAGACCTGTCATTTCAATGTTAATGAAGAAAAAACAGCACAGCAACAGGATCTCAAACATTTATCTAAAATCTGGAACTTTGAGAAAAAACGTGGTATACATCCCCATACAAACAATAACCGTGTTTTATAAGGTTATAAAGCTTGAAAGAGAAAAGGCAAGATTCAGAAACTTAAGAAAAGGGAAAGAAGACTAACAATTCTGACGAGATTGATTGCCTTTTGCCCAGACCCAGCCGAGTCTCTTTTCTGCCATAAGTGGTGCTCTTTCCTTCCCACCTTCTTGATTGTTTTCCTACATTTCATGCAAAGTACATCCTTTTGAAGCATTATGACAACCTAAAGGCCAATGACTACATAAACGACATTTCGTAAATAGCTATAGATGCTAGTTTATTCTAAAACAAAGTGCAGCCAAGCATTTGAACGAAAAAGCAGTGTCTTGAAGCATTTGAATTTTTACATTGAAAAGCACATATTATAGTTAATTATAAAGAAAGACAGAAAACTTACTTCTCAATTGCTTTTGGACTGGTTAGAGGTTGTCTACTTTGCTTGAAGGAGCACTTGACATTGAATGCATTTATAGACACCGTTTGATGTAGAGAATTTCTCTAGGAGAAAAGAAAGATAAGGAGATGAAGACTGTTAAATGAAAACTTCCAAGTTTTAGAAATCAAGCGGGAAAGTAAATGCATGACAATTTTGTTCTTGCCTTCCTTAACAATGAGGTCAACAAATTGAGTTACCTTCCACAAGAGAGAAGTTCTACAATTAGAAAAGCCAAACCCCAATGACAAAGCTGCTTCAGTTGTCTTCATCTAATGAGTCAGCCAAGAAGTGAAATTAAATACCCAAGTAGAATAAGGTAGAGTTGGAAAGAAATGTGACAAATTATGAATAAGGTTGCTCAGTTGTTCACCTGATCAATTCCTGGTAAGGGGAACTGAAAACAAGTAGAATTTCCGGAACTCACAAACATTCGTCTTCTCTTCTTTAATTTTCAATATTTTGAGCAGTTCACATCAGTCTCCTCTCCTTTGTCACAATACAGTTTCCCACTGTGAAACAAATTCTCAGTAACCCCATTAAATTGTTGCACCCATACGGATACAGGTGCGGCAAGACGAAACCCACCCAACCAAATGAATCTGAGATGGAGATGGCGACGGCGCTGGGTGCGAAATGGGTATATTCAGAAAGAAGCTTAGAGAGCATCAAGAACTCAGCAAACTTGAAGATGAAGCTGAATATTTGGTGCATAAACATAAAATTCGGTTCAATTGATAGCAAATAGAAGAGTGCACATACCTTGGGGATTTGAAAAATCTGGGTTTTAAGCTTCAGAAGCTGTGGAGGTCATAAGTTACAGAGGCACGGACACAGAGAGAGAGAGAGAGAGAGAGAGAGAGGGTGGAACTTCCATGTGGATTGGATTTGTCATTTGTGTGGGCTAATATGAGTTTGGGCCTGGACTTAGATATACCGCACTGAGGCTGTTAGTCTGCCTAAGCAGATTTTCTTTTCTTTTCTTTTTATTTTATCAGAAAAACAAATCACAACAAAGAGTAAAACCAAATTATATTGTATTGTATTGTAAATGATCAATCTTTGTAACTAATCCTTTGTGAGTAATTTGCTGACATTACAAAACTGGTTTCTCTATTGGAACCTTAAAACTTGCTGCATTTCCAAGTCTCCTCATCAAGTCAGGTAATTTCGTCACCAACGTGAACTTTGTTCCTCCTTCCTCCACCGCCCTCCAGCTTTCTGATAACCATCACCACCGTGAAATCTCGAAATCTTATATCTTGAGTTCTGGCGCCAACTGCCATCATTTACATCCGACTTGAAATTTCCCCAAGAAACTCCATGATCACCTCTTCCATAAATAACTAGTCTTCCTTGAACCATACTTCCATTCATCACGTGAGCAATTATTCTCCCACTTGTAACAAGTGTTGCTGCCCCATCCTTCACCCATGGCTGCAGCTTTGCTCTGATGACCAGAAGCAGGCTCCCAAGGATTTTCATGAACATTTTCTTTATTTTTGAGATCCTCTTCGGAGTCACCCCATGTGCACGCAACCGTCTCATTTGAGACCGTCTGATGAAGGCCAATAATGACAACATCCTTAGGATCTAGGGTTTGACCATGATCATAGTAGTAGGGTTTAGGTTCCCTGCTCCTTTCCAAGTCCAAAATCACCTCAGGATCAATGTTGGACGAGTTCCAATCTACCTCATCAATATAAGCGTCAGGATCCGGCAAAGATATGTTGCAAGGAAGGCCGTTGATCTCCGCCCAGAACCGGCTTTTCGCATCTTTGAATCCCTCCTCGCCAGCAGAATCGTTCCATTGAACAATGTTTTTGTGGAGAGACAGCATGGACTTCTTTGTTTCTACGAGTTTTCCCCATGGAACTGAGCCAGCCCTCATACAGAATTGTTTTTCCCAGTCAGGCACGCTCACGCTGTGATCTTGTCGCTTTCTCTTCTTCTGTAATGAACTCCAATGATTCTTCCACGGTTGAGAATAGTAACCACTGTAGTCACCACCTTCACCTTGTTGTCTTCTCCAACACATAATTGAAACCCTAAGAAATACAAAGCACACAACAACAAAACGAAAACCAAAGATTTTTTGTGCTTGCAGAAAAAACAAGGACCAACTGAGTTTAATCACAAGTCGTAGAGTGAAGCAAAAGATTGTGTGACACTATTATATATATATATATATATATATATAGAGACCTGGTAATCCTGAAAGAATTAGGAAAAGAAGCTTTCCTAATTCTGGTAGGAAAAACCTTATGTATTTTAACGATAATTCATCATAATCCTACAAGAACTAGGAAATGCTTTTTTTTTTCTTTCCTAATTCTCGTAGGAAAAACCATAAACCTTAAGGCACTATATTTTAACCATAATTCATTCATAATCTTACAAGAATTAGGTTTTAATAGTTCTTTTAGGAAAAAGCTTAAGGCACTATATATTCTAGTTAACATAACATCATACAATCAAAATATTCAAGAACTACTTGTCCAATATAATTCTCTCAAATCGTAAACCCGTCAAGACCGAGAGGAACAGTCAGTGACTGAGAAGTGAGAAGATGGACAGAGAATGGGGTTCAAAGCCGGGCAGCGGTGGCGCCGCCTCAGCCCAAAACGAAGCCATCGACCGCAAAGAGCGTCTCCGAAGACTCGCCCTCGAGACCATCGACCTTGCCAAAGACCCCTACTTCATGAGCAACCACCTCGGAAGCTACGAGTGCAAGCTTTGCTTGACACTGCACAAGAACGAGGGCAATTACTTGGCCCACACGCAAGGAAAGCGCCATCAGACTAACTTGGCACAGCGAGCTGCTCGTGAGGCCAAAGAAGCTCCTCCTGCCCCTCAGCCCCTGCAGCCTCAAAAGCGCAAAGGGAACGTCCGAAAGTCTGTCAAAATTGGTAGGCCTGGTTACCGAGTGACGAAGCAGTTTGATGAAGAATCAAAGCAGAGGTCTCTTCTGTTCCAGATTGAATATCCTGAGATTGAATTTAATGCGAAGCCACGGCACCGTTTTATGTCATCTTATGAGCAGAGAGTTCAATCTGTGGACAAAAGATACCAGTATCTTCTCTTTGCAGCCGAACCCTACGACACCATTGCTTTTAGGGTTCCTAGCACAGAGATTGACAAAACCACTCCCAATAAGTTTTTCTCAAATTGGGATCCAGACTCTAAAATGTTCACATTGCAGATATATTTCAAAACTAAGGCACCGGAGATGAACAAACCACAACCTCCCCTGCAGCCAATCGTCCAAGAGTTCAATAGTTTAAATGATCTTGCACCGGCACACGTGTTCCCACGTCACTCTCTACCTGATTATTGAGCCTTAGTCACATCTTTTAGTTGTTATATATGTTCTCTATTTCAAAGGTCTTATGTTTCATTTTGTTTCCCTTATAAACATTGATGTTAGTGTTGAAATTGAGATATGTATGTGGATTTTTGCAACTTTTCTTGTGCCAATTTCTTGTCAAATGTTTTTTTATTTTTGGTGCGAAAAAATAAGTTCTCAAACGGTGGATTGGATTTGTAATTTATGTGGGCTATATATTATTATGGACATTTAGCAGCTGTCCAGAGTAAGCCTGACGGATTGGGCTTGAACATCCTATATGTTTACCCAAACAAATTTTTCAACCCAAAAAACAAAACAACAAATAAATTCCATGTTTTGTGGGAATTTAGTGGTCGTTTGGGAGTGATTTTGGATTGGCCTATCCACAATCACTCCCAAACGAGCCCTTAATCGCTTGGAGAAAATGTCTTCAAAGTTCTTAGTTTTCTTGGACTAATGGCTTGCTTTTTAAAAACGATCCAATGTTATGATGTGAACGCATTATATTACGTGTGTTGGACATAACTGGAGTGAATCACATGCAGCTTATTTGATATAAGGTTTCGTAGAATATCAGCCAGACCAAAACATAATGTATGTCCATTGTTATACCTCGTCATATCTTTGTACATCTATATTACCATAACTCTAAGGAAAGAATAAAAACAAATGCCACTCAACATTTTTTATTTTTTATTTCACATTAATTCACGCCACTTAACATTTCTTTCTTACACTTTTTTGAAAAAACCTTTCACATTGAGAGTTGATAACATTCTAAACGGATGTTAGGAGTGCTTCAAACCACTACATTAGTGTATTCTTCTTAAACTTTTGTTTGACAAAAATGACAGATTTTGAATCGCATTATTAGAGATGAGATTGAAGTCGTATTCATTCATTTATTAGAGATGAGATTGAATAACGTACATATAAAAATATCTATCGACCAGTACCAAACCTTATGCTTAACTAGTCGTTTTCACTAAAAAAGAGTTATGTACATTTATCTAACTAAGGCATTCAAAGCTTTCTCAATGGTGTAAAGGGTTTTTTTTTTTTTTTTTTTTTTTTTTTTTTTTCTAGTGGACCACATTTCCCCTATCCCTATGGTTTTTGCATTGCTTGTTTGTTTGCTTATTGCTCTCGTTTTTTTCATCATATTGTTTTGGTTAAATCACCTCACATTATATAGTTTTGGTTATAAGCACTTTAGATTAATATGTTATAGAATTTATTTTATCAAAAGTTGGATTAAAATGTGTCTCATTCATTCTCATCGTATGTTCATAACTCCATTTCCTATTTTAAATACTGAAATGCAAATCTTGATTTAAGCACTTTGCTCAAATTTGATAATTTAACACAAGGGGACTCGAACTTGCGTATGAGATAGCGGATTCACTGTTGTAGACAAGTAGCCTACCTCACTTGTGCAAGGTTGGCTAACAATATTTGATTAAAATGATGAAAACTTACTCCATATCAAGGGGAATATACCCTCAAAAGTCCACCTTCTCCCTTTTCACAAGCTAACAACAATAGTTTTTTCTTCCCATCTCTCTGGTCATCGTTAATGGGTTTTGTTTGGTTCCTAAACATCAACACCAAGACTTACCACTTTAGAAGTCCTAAAAAAGATTGCTTCACCCAATTATTACACGAAAACAACGGCGGGAACGTGGCACCCCAAGCACAAATCATTGAGATTCCGCCTCGTGTAGCTTGTGCCTGTGTGGCTGGTGATGTCATCTCCCACGTGTCGCTCCTCCACTGGCTTGTCGTATTCGAAATCATTCTTCTCTTATTACGGATAAATTAGGTGGACCTCAACTCACGCTCTCGGGAACCGGGAGATGGGCCCCACTCTCAAGCGCGGGATGAGCCGTCTGATGCGCCGAGCTGGCTGATCCTTAGCTTTACACCGACGCCTTTACCACCTCCCAATCATTGATGAATATTTCTCTCAACAAGTCACCACCGCGTGTTGGTTACTTACTGCAAGCAACTCGGCTCGGCTTGTCCAGTGGTTTGTTATGTTTATAACTCTTTTTTCTTTTCTTTTTTCCCACAGAAATACATTACAAATTAAATCCTCTTGATTTTTCCCACAGAAATACATTACAAAGTAAAATCTAGTAATTATATTCATAGGAAAATTACTAAACCAAATACTAGAGTCATTATACATATGTCATGTCGTAGCTAATTAATCAGCAATCATATTAGTTTATCGGAGCTCTCGTTAAATATCTTTTACAATGAACCTTAAATTCCTTTTTCTTTTCCCTGTGGATTTTCTCTTCTTCTTTTTTTGGCTGGAATTTGAACCTGGACGCTTATTTGATCTTGATGCAATTATGTTTCAGCATCAATTTTTGTTTCTGCTGGGTCGTGGTAAAATTGCGGAGCTCCAATAAATTCAAAATTTAATAGAAAAGTGACATTTATTTTCCTAAATCATATTTCTGTATCTAGCTATGAATTTTTATTATTTATGACTCATGTTTATTTTCCAATGCTTCTGAAACAGCCTGTGCTTTGTAACCATTTCCCAAAAAAGAAAATTTGAGCTTAGAATTAAATATTGAGATATTTTTGGATAATCAGATACGAAATTAATGAGGATGACAACATAACACAAATTTTCTCCACCGTGTTGCTAAGCATTGACATCATTCTGATTTCTATCCAATAGAAATTATTTTTACAAATCCAGCAAAATATTCCACATATTTCTGTGTCTCATTTCCATTTATATAAACAGATATTTTTAATTTTTAATTTTTATTTTGACATACCGAAAAGGATGTCAATTGACCAAGCGTGCACCGTTACTCAAGTCCTTGCATCCGTATTTGGAACAAAAAGTAGAAAGCTACCCAGATTTTGACCCCCAAAATGAAAAGTAGAAAACGCAACCCAAACCACACCAAGTCAAATATGTAGTTAGCCAAGAGGAGAGAAGAGCCGTGAGATAATGAAAACAGGGAGGAAGCCAGAAAAGCTGATACATAATCAAGCTAGCTTATTAGGGTAGTAAGTCCGCGCTCTTGCCCGCACTCTCGCATTTATGTTTAAATTTTATCCTCGTGCAAAGGGTTTGTAGCTCAAGTTAGTTGATTATGCTTACGTCCAATGTTTAAGTTTAATTGTCCACCCCTTTAATATTGCTTGTATAAAAAAACAAAATTAAAAGAGATAATTAAATTAAATTAATAATTTATTGAAATAAAGAAAGAGGGTGGCGGGGGCCGCACTCAAAGCCTTTACACAGTGACGCCATCTGACAACACTATAACGATCAAAGTGTACTCGCTACGATTTTCATTTCCTCCCTCCCTCCCTCCATCCCTCCCCCCCTCTATAAATATACAAATAAATCCCATCAAATCGCCGAACTTGTCAGGAAAACCCAACTTTCATTTCACTTTCAATTTGATATCAAATTTCTCCAAAACCCTCAGCTCTATGGCTCTGGCTATGGTCGACTACGAGTTCCAAGAATCGGAGGTCATCTTCTCCGACAATCACGAATTCGAAAGCTGCTTGGATTTCCGGCATCGTCTTCACCACCACAGCAAGTCCAATTTCACCAAGAAGAAGAAGGCAATGGGGAATAATATTAGTAATGATAATAGCAAGTCGGTGCCGGTGAAAATCCCAAACAACGCTTTCGACCGGTTCGGCAGCGCCGACGACGAAAGCGACGGCGATAATTACAGGGAGGAGGAATGGGACGAGGGAGAAATGGTGCCGCCGCATGTGATAGTACGGCGTCGTATTGCGGGGAAGATGGCGTTCTCGGTGTGCACGGGGAACGGGCGGACGCTTAAAGGAAGGGATTTGAGTCAAGTCCGGAATTCGATTCTCAGAATGACCGGCTTCTTGGAAGCTTAATAAATAAATTAATTAAATTGTAATTTCGAATTAGAAATATTCGTTTCTTTAATTATTTTCATTAGATGAGAAAAATAGGGGGGGAAAGCAAATTACAAAGGTTCTTCCGTGTCAAATGTCAATTACTGTGAATTTGTTGGGTTCTCTTTTAAATCTAAAAGATCATTGTTCTTTCTGAAAAACAATTGAAAATTCTTGTGGAGCTTCAATATTTTGATTTTTTATTTGTTGCGGGCAGCGTAAGGATTTTGTTAGCTAACAGCAGCTTGACATTGCAAGTTGGCCAGGAAGTGTTGTGGGTTTTGTTCATGTATGGAGATATGGTGGAGTGCAGAAGGGTGAGCAATGCACCGCCCCTTCTACACTCTGTCTGCCCGAGTGAGGAGGTTTGTCTGGTATTGGCAGACCTCAACATCACCAGCCTGGTTTCGGTGAGAATTTAAGAGAGAGAGAGAGAGGTGTTTGGTAGCGGTCATGAAAATATATGTTATCACTTTTGTTTCTTTCGCAGTTTATTTATTATTTTTTGATATAAGCGATAATGAAGGAGGAAAGATTTGAACACAAGATCTTTACCCTCCGTTTGGATGAAGGAATTGAAAATTACATAGAGTTTTAAAATGATAGAATTTATATTTCCATCATTTCAATTTCTGGCAATTGAAGATTTCAATGTTTAGATTTATGTATGTCGAATTGTGTAAATGACAGAATTTTGTAAATGAAACTATGAAAATTGGAAAATGACACCTATTTTGGTGAAAATTAAACTCGGAAATTTGATGCCCCAATTTCCACAAGTCATTTAATAAATTGCGTGCTTAAATTGCCAAACAAGAGAATTGTTAATTTATCCTCTCAAATTCCATACTTTGAACTAAATTCTGAGTTATTTTCCCACATCTAAACAGAGGGTTAACTATTTGAGTTTTTTTTTTTGTGTGAATAGAATTCAAACACGCTAAGTCTAGAAGAACTGATATTAACCAATTGAGCTACATAATTTGTATGAAAATATGGAAAGAGTTAAACAATAGGCTGGCTAGAGAGGGGGATTGACTTGTTCAGATCCTCCCATAATTCGTTTCCCACAATTGACTAATCAAAATATTATAAATAAAAACAGAATACAAAGTTTAGAGTCAGTCTTCTCGTCCTTGCAATGAAAATAACCCCATTATATACATGAATATATACGTGTGATCTAGTCACTCAACTGGATAAAAGGAGAGAAATTTTTGTTCCGTACTGTTTTTTTTCAAACCAATAATTATTATTATTTTTTTTGGTTACGTACCTTGCACAGTTTATGACAACAAGCATAGTCAATTGAGTTCTACTTTAAAAAAAAAAAAAAAAAAAAAAAAGTAAAAACCAAAGAACGTGTGAACCTAAAATTACATAATTCACAACTCTTTGCCATGTTGTTATTTTTAATTACACCATTTATTTGACCACACAACAAATGGCCAGATTAATTAGCGTGACAGAAATAAAAGTATGAAACTTATTCCCAGAATTGGATTGATTCAAACCCTTCCGTATTGTTCGCATGCATAGTTGGTGGTTGTGATGATGAGCATGTGAGTCTAGCTTTTAAGAATGAGGAGCAAGGGGGTCCCTCCCCATGGTCTCATCCACTTCTCCAAAACTCAAATATCTTATCAAGCACAAAAGTAGAGCAGCCCCCACCGTGGCCATGAAAGCTCTGTGCTCAGCCGAGCTTGTTCCCTACCTATACGACCCTGCAGTCCATGTGTTTCAACGATCAGCCCCCCAATATTATTACATTATTATTATTCAAATCAATACCTCATGTTCAATAATACATAGTAATCACCTATGTCTTTATTTGATTGGAGAAGGTGTCAAGCTAAACACAGATAGATGCGAGAACGATGTATTGATTGTGATCAATTTGATATCTAAAAACCATCAAATTAATAATATGACATGACATGCTCGATGACTAAAATTGAAAAGGAAAACAATATCAAACGATTTCTTTATTTGACACAAAAGGAAATTGCAAAGAAGGTCTTCTAGAAAACATTTTACGAGCTACCAATGTAATGGTACCTACAATTTTCATATGACCCAAGATTATTTCGAAAAGAAAAAATGATTACTCGATAGTATTATATATTGATCTCAATTAAATTTTTTTAAAAAGGTTGTACTAATGATTCGAATCCGAGTAACAATATTGGCATGACACCGTGGCCACGTGTGCATCAGAGCATCAGAGACACATGGATGGTTGAGATCAGCATGTCAGAAGAAACCTGACAGTGTCAGCTCATGAACCAATGATGCCGATCACATCAGAGCCACAGATTCTTAAAATCATAACCAAATCAGATATCACAGTGGCTGTCGGGGCTTGCTTTCCCAAGGAAACTAAATATTAATAATGGTGCTTGAGTTCGTTAACGTGTAGGTTTTGTTCCTTAGCTTCATGGCATCCAAACTTCAAAAACCGACAAATTATAATGGAGTCCAGAAAAAGGGATTTATTATGGAATTAAAAAACGGCATGGGATGGGAGGCAGAGAAGTTAAGCAAATTCTGCAGATGCTCTCTTTAAAATAATAATAAAATTCTTGATGACTTGAACACTTGAGCAAATCCAAGTACTAATTAAACAAAGTGTTTGGATAAATTGAGCAAAATGAGTGGTTGTTGGGATGCAAATGGTTCCTTTATCTTCTAAAAAGTTGTCAAACTTAGTTAGGTAGAAACTCTACTTAATTAAAATAGACATCTAGTTAATCTTCGGGGCACGTTCGAGTCAACATATATTTGATGGTACATAAGCAATTTTTTATGAGACTTGAAAGCAATACGTAACAGAAGTTGTTTTCGTGTATTTGTCCAAATGGAAGAACAAAGGTGCTAAATGCTAATATAGTAGCAAAACTGACATTAATTGACCATACTGGTGTTTTCTTTAATATGCTTTAGTACAAACACTTTCATATGATTTTTGCCCTAAATAACTATGAATATGTGCAATCATAAATAAACGTGCATGAAGTAAATTCGAATGTTTTAAACATGCCCGAAGAAGGTTTGAGTTGTGGACGCGTATGTCTAAATGTACAACTCTAGAGGCTATGACAATGACTTGCAGTTTTCCTTTTACAAAAAGAAATCTTGCATTCCATTTCCATTAATGGCATGAATGAAAGAGTGGAAGAGAAAAGCACAAACCCAACTTGCAGATATATATATATAATCAGATTGAGTGCCCTTAATCATTTGGATATGGTGCTTTTTCAAGTGTACAAGAATGCTTAATCTGCCTGCCTTATCCTTGGTAATAGGGTTCTTGTTGCTATCAGCTAAAAGAAGAAAGTATAAATGTGGTAATGGTCACTTGCATTGAGATGAAGAAGAAAGTGACAATATACAACACTCTAGAGAGAGGATTACGTGTGGTCAAGAGTTAAATTTCCCCAAGGTTTGCGCTACTCGTTACACCTAGAGAGAACTAAAAGAAAGCAACGACTCTAGGAAATAATAATAAATAAATATTTGTCCTCCTTTAGGTGGCATGGATTATGACAAATCTTATTGCTAATTACGCAAAGTAAAACTTTAGGGGAGATTCTCCAATAAGTATTTTATGTTAAAGATTGATTACATACTTTTAATCTTGATTATTGGATTGCATTCATTAAATGTGTTGATAGTCTCATAAATGCAATCCAACAACCGAAATTAGAAGTATGTAACTAATTCTTAACTTAAATACTTATTGGAGAATATCTCGTAAGTAATAAACACCTTGTGTGATCTTTTTTAGTAGAAATCAGTCAAGCTGTGGCCTAGAATACTAGGCAAGCATCTCTACACATTTTGTTGGTATAAACTCAGTTGGGGGTGTTTTTGTTTAAAAAGAGATGCTTAGTTCGAAGCAAAAACACACACTCCTTATATTATACAAAGGATGGTACAAAACTGTCGATCTTTAACTCAAACGTGAATATCAGTAAACAAAAGCGTCATCAAGCAGCTTCTCACTCTGGACGCAATGATGCTGCAATCGGAGAGAGCTTTGTATAAATGACAATGCAAGAACAACAAACAGTGATATTTAAACTTATGCAGGTCGCGCTGCTGATGGCAGATCAAGCAAGGGCCTCAAGAAGTCAAAAATGAGTGTTTGAAGAATCTGCCATGATTAAAAGGAAGTTAATAAAAAACTACCAAAGAACAAAAATGGCAGATAAGCAAACACAAAATCAAGTTGAAGTTGCCCGCACACCAGTCATTAGGGAAGAATTGGCTTCAGAGCAATTGATGCAAGTGAAAAACTGGTTGCTAATTGCTCATCCACACAGTGTTGCTTTAAACTGGTCTAAAACAGCGTTTGCGAGGTGCTGTGGAAGTCTTCCGGGTATTTGGTACGTATTCAAATTGGCTAAAGTCAACAGCAACAGTTGACCTGCAATAAATAAAGATCAAGTCATTCATGGTGATAATGTAGCAGTAGAAGAAGGCAATATTAGCTTTGAATATCTTACCTATTGGTACCAGTGTTTTGGACATCTTTCAGAGGAGCACGAAGACCACTTGCTCGAGAACCAGACGACGAATATCTAAACGATGATATTACTGAAACAAATTTTTCCATCGACTTCTCTGCTATGTCAGAATACCGGCCTAAATGGGAAATGTTGGATCCAAATTTCCCTTCTTCAGTTTTTGTGCCTGTAAATGTTTCGTTTAGGCTAGATGCACAATTACCTAAATGGAAGTAACCAAAACACAATATCAATATCCTTGATCAATGATATAGGTCAGTTTCATTGACCTCTTAATTTAAACTGATGAGGCAACAAATATTAGCTCATATGAACACATTCATAGGTCAATAAAAAACTGATTTATCAAAATAACATAAATGAAAGAAACAATACAAAACAAAAATCAATATCCTTGATCAATGAACACATTCATAGGTCAATAAAATAAAATAGATTTATCAAAATAGAGAGCTCAGTTTTTCTAAGTTTCCACTAGCACTTACCATCATCGGGAAGGCATGCACTGATACACAATTGCTTGGGTTTCACGTTTTCCTGAAGGAGTTAAGACAACGATTTTATAAGAAAAACAATCATAAACACACACTTTGAGCATAAAATCAAAAGAGAAAGAAAAACACATACCACTTCAAGGCTATC